GCGGCCGCGAGGCGGCCGCGGCCGGCCGGCCCTTTTGCTTAAGGAGGCTCGACCCTCAGACGCTGAGAGTCATGGCCCTGCCGTTGGTGCCCGGCAATAGCGTTAACCGCAACGTGAGTAGCCAGGGCGTCCGATGTCAGAGGTCCCGATCCAGTCTGCGGTGTTGGCAGGGTCTGCGTGGGGCCAACGTCCTGGGCCCTGAGGGAGGCCTCCTGTGCTTGGGTGGAACTTGGACCAAGCTTTATAGGCCCCTTTCCCCATCCCTCTAACAGCACTGAATACTTTTCCTACATCACATACATGAGTGGAGGCCTGATAGAGGGCAGGATGCTCAAAAGTAGCCGATGATAGTGAGGATGATGACAACCGTTGGGCTAAGTTTCAAGTTTGAATCGCCTTCCCAAGAGCCCTTGGTATTAGGTACTGTTTTTATTCCCATTTTACAGTTGAGGAGGAGACTAAAGCACAGAGCTACACAGTATCAATAGTGAAACTGGGTTTCTTCCAGGCAACCTGTCTCCACAGCCCAGGACCCTAATCATTATCCTCAGTACCCTGTGTAAAAGAGTTAGATGTAGCTATTAAATCAAAGATATATGGCATTCTCGGGGGTGGGTGAGAAATAGGGAACATTACATCACCCGAAGTTTAGGCCCTAACTTTATAGAGAGGGGTAGCCAAACTTAGAGGGATTCTTTTGGTTGTTGTTGACTCATTTAGAATTGCAAAGTGTTGGTTATTTCGAAACAAGAAGGTACAACATAGAACAGCACAACACACAAATTCTAAGCATGAAATAACTCTTGCCAATAAATAGCATCTTATTTAAATAACAGCAGGAAAGGGATTAGGCCTTTGTCTGCCCTGGTTACTACTTTTCCTTGAATTTGTCAGTTGTGTCTGCACAAGGTAAGTAATACACTAGTGGGAGGGAATTAGATGAAGTCAAAGTATTGGTGTAAACCTCTTATAGGTTTAGAAAGCAGGCCGCATGTCAAAGTATTTGACTTTATTGATTCTGAGCAGTGTCAGTATCCAAGTTGTTGGCCCCCAAGTCCCAGCTCTCTTTGGACCTTCAGGCCACTAGATTCTGACTCTCACATAGTTGATAGTTATTGGTCAGTACAACTAGGAACATGGTTTGTGCATTTCTTGGCCCACCGGTGGTGGTTGGCCTTCTAGCATAGCATTGCCTTTTGGTAAGACTAAAGCAGCCACGCAGATAAGATAGGCCTCTTGAGAGGCAGGACAGGAAAAAAGATTCCAGAAGTAAAGAAGACTACTGTGTCAAAGTAATTTTAATTAAAAAAAAAAAAAAGAAAGAAAGTACAGCCTATAGTTTCTGGCCCAGCAACACTTCTGATTACTGATGCTCACCTTCTGCTAAAGTATCACAGCTCTCACATACAATGATTTTAAGGGTAGGAAGGAAAAAAAAAACCAGTGGTTGGATGAGATATTTTAAAATTGGGAATGTCGTACTGAGTGTCTTTTTTTAAATTTCTTATTATAAAATGTAACACAAGTTCAGAAAAATGCGCAATGGAGGACCACAAGATGAACATCAAGTGGCTGAATTATGGCACAGTGGTAAAAGGAGATGCTCTGCAAGGCTGACCCACATGTGGAGGTTCTGGGTTTGCTTCTGCAGATCTCCCCAAGTGTACTGTGCACATGTGTGCCCATGATCCAGGGCTGTCTGAAGCTGGGGGTAGATTGTGGGGCCAAGACCCTGATTGGGATGCTGTCTCTCTCTCTCTCTCACTCACGGAAGAAGTAAATGAAATAAAAACTTAAAATAAGTCAAATATAGTCCCACAGGTGGTGTGGTGGTTAAGGCACTGGATTCCCACATGACCAACCATGGCTCAAGTTCTGGATCTGGTGGCTTGCTTTCTCACTTTCTCTCTCTCCCTCTCCAGTGACCACACGTACCCTACAGCAAATTAAAATAATAATAAAATCAAATAAATATTTTAAAAATAATTATTTATTTGATTTTATTATTATTATTTTTAAATTTGACCAGGGAGAGCAGAGAGAGAGAGAGATAATGGCTATGTCGCTGGATTCCCATGTAGTTGACCACGGTTCATGTCCCGGACCCAGTGGCTTAAAACTCAAGCTGGGTGCGTGTGCGTGCATGCCCAAGATCCCGAGAGGAGAATGAAGGAGAAGGGATTGCAGTGTGGCCATCCCCCTGGGGGGTGATTTCTCGCTTTCTGTCTCTCTATCTCTCTCTATCTGTCTGGCGAGTGCACGCTCTATGGCAAAAACCTCTCCAAAAAAATTTATTTAACTAACTTTATTTACTTATTTTAATTTGCCCAGAGAGGGACAGAGAGAGAGAGAGAGAAAGAAGGCAAACAGCTAAATCTGGGGCCCGAATTGCAGTCGGCCTTGTGGGAGTCCAGCATCCTTAACTACCATGCCACCTGCCAGCCCCAGCCCCCCAAATTAAATAAATCTTCAAAAAAATTTTTAAAAATCAACCAAAGGTATTAGCACATGGTGTAATGGCACATTGCTGAACTTCCATGCAGTCGACTATGGTTTGAGTCCCGGACCCGGTGGCTTAAACTCATGCCGGGCGCGTGTGCGTGCATGCCCAAGATTCCGAGAGGAGAATGGAGGAGAAGGGATTGTGGCGTGGCCATCCCCCTTGGGGGGTGATTTCTCGCTTTCTATGTCTCTGTCTGTCTCTGTCTTTCTGGCGAGCGAATGTGCCCTATAGCAAAAACATCTCAAAAAAAAATCAACCAAATATAAAGACATGGAATATTACTAGTACTCCGAAAGCCCCCCCGCCCCTTAACTAGGGTTGCCAGATTTAGCAAATAAAAACACATGTACCAAATATTGCATGAGATCTATTTATACTAAAAGATTATTTGTTGTTTATCTGAGATTCAAATTTGACTGAGCATCTCGTATCTTACGTGGCAACTTCACATACGATCTTTTCCATTCATTTCCCCTTACTCTCCGCCTGTAATCACCATCCTGTTTTCTATCACTGCAGTTAGATTTGTTTACTTCTGAACTTTTTGTCAGTGGAAATGTGTGGTATTTATTCTCTTATGACTGGCATTTTATCTCGACATGTTTGTGAGATTCGCTCATGTGTCTGTTGAGGTTTTTAAGTTATTTTTTTCTTTTTTTTTAATTGACATAATAATTGTACAGATTTGTGGGGGTACAATGTGATTTTTCAGCATAAGAATATAAAGTGTAATGATTATATCAGGGTGATATACCCATCATCTCAACCATGTGTCATTATTTGTGTTGGGAATATTCAAAATCCTCCCTTGTAGTTACTTTGAGAAATGTAGCAAGTTGTTGCCATCTCTAGTCTCACCAGTGTGTTTTATAACACTAGACATTGTTCTTCCTAACAGCAATTTTGTTTCCATTAATCAACATCCCTATGGAGGTAGTTTGTACATTTTCATTGCTCTGTAATATTCCATTGTCTGAATATGACATCATTTGTATATCCATTCCATTCTTGATAGATACTTAGCTTGACTGGGGTTCTGAAGAATAGTTTTGTGGACTGGCAGAGGACATGGTGGTCAAGGTGCTGAATTCCCACATGGCCATCTGCAATTCAGGTCTTAGACCTGGTGGCTTGAAATTCACGCCACACACGTGTGTGTGCGTGTCCCAAATTCCAGGAAGAGAATGAAAGGAGAGGTAATTTTAGCATGGCCATCCTCCTGGGAGGTGATTTCTCACTTTCCCTCTCACTGTGTCCCTCTCTCTGTCTCTCTGGTGAGCTCATGCACCCTATGGCAAAAAAAACGGAAAGAAAAAGAAGTTTTTTCTGTGAGTATTCTTGTTTATATCTTTTGTTAGATCATATGGTATTCATATGTTCAGCTTTAGTAGATTTTGTCAGAGTGATTATATATCAATTTAAATTCCCGCCAGTGGGCCCAGCAGTTGGCATAATGTCTATGTCACTGGACTCCCACGTAGTCGACCATGGTTCAAGTCCTGGACCCGGTGGCTTAAACTCATGCCGGGTGCATATGTGTGCATGCCCAAGATCCTGAGAGGAAAACGGAGAAGGGATTGCAGCGTGGCCATCCCCCCTGGAGGGTGATTTCTCACTTTCTATTTCTCTGTCTTTCTGGCAAGCGCACATGCCCTATAGCAAAAACTTTCAAAAAAAAAAAATTCCCACCAGTATTTTATGTTCCAGTTGCTCCACATTCTTTCTAATGCTTGACATTGTTAGTCTGAAATTTTAGATTTTTTTTTTTGTGAGTGTAGTACAACTCTTTAATAGGGCACGTGCGCTCGCCAGACAGACAGAGAGAGACATAGAGACAGAAAGCAGGAAATCACCCCCCAGGGGGGATTGTCATGTCGCAGTCCCTTCTCCTCCATTCTCCTCTCGGGATCTTGGGCACGCACGCACACGCGCCCAGCGTGAGTTTTAAGCCACCGGGTCCGGGATGTGAACCACGGTCGACTACGTGGGAGTCCAGCAACATAGCCATTATGCTAACTGCTGGTGATCTGCACTTTCCTGATTCCTAATGAAACTGAACATGTTTCACACATTTATTGGTCATCTGGATATTCCTTTTGTGCAGTTCCTGTTTGACTTTTGTCTCATTTTCTACTAGGTTGCCTGCTTGTTTCCTAGTGATCCGTAAGAGTTTTACATTTATTTTGGACATCTTCCAGTCTGTGGTTGGCCTTGTCATTCTCTTAATGGTGTTCTTTACTTTTATTTATTTCATTAATCTATTTTTATTGCCAGAAGGCATGTGTGCTCACCAAAGAGAGAGGAGAAAGAGAAACTGCTCCAATCATACTGCAATCGTATGTCCTCCATTTCAAGCTGCGGGGGCCAGGATTTGAACCAGTCAACCATGTGGAATTCTGCTTTCCATGCATAGTGCTTAACCATTGTCCAGCCCTCTTAATGATGTTTTTGCCATAGGGCGGGCGCCACCACGCCCCTTAATGATGTTTTTGATGTGTAATTTTTCTTTAGTTTACTTTTTTTCTTTCCTATTTTAGAAATAATTACTTATACCAAGTCATAAAGATATTATCCATTTTCTGTTCTAGGAATTTTGTTGGCTTTACTTTT